TAAATTCCTCCTGATCAGCCAGATCACATGGACAGGAAGGCTCGTCGCCGTACGAGGGTAAATAAGAGTGGTTGGCCTGGTTTGCTCGGTAACAACTTGGGCACAGGGGTGGACCGATACACACACGAGGACACTGCTCGCTCAATGATGCTTACCGGTATGTTGGATTGAGGGGAGGGTAGGTTTTAATTGGTGCTTAACTGAATACACAACCATACCCACTCATCATACATCTGCAACATGGTCTTTTTGTACTTTTGATTTGTTGGTGGACAGATTGCTAACACCTCACAGACAGATTAGATTAGGACTATTGTATGCTACCATAGCCAGTTCTGTCTAATGCTACTCTAAGTGAACCAATCAGAGTACATCTAGACTATGTTGACAATCTGTTGTGAATGTTGTAGAATGCCACTTGATCGGTACAGTAGGGGATCTGCCGGACACAACTATATTTAGAAAATTAGGTGTCGGTCAGACACATGCTGTGGTAGGACTCCACTAGGGGGTTCTAGTGCAGATAATGTTTGCCTAATTGATGAACAGGTCAGACGTCGATGAGGAGAGAGTTGACGATGCCAGACTCACACGTGCTAGATCACGTAGGATCCCGCACGTGTTCCAGGCCTTAGAACTGGGAGAAGAAAGATGTCTACGCAGAGCCCGTGCACTAGCAGCTGCTAGGGAAACAGCAAATGCCGCAGCTAGGGAACAGGCTGCCGCAGCAGCTAGGGCAGCAGCCATGGCTAGCTCAGCAGCATCCTCTGCGGCCTTGTCTGGGACCAATGGGACCCAGTTGGGAATGCCCACAAGGTCCACGTCCAACTCTTTAGGTTCTGGACAGTCTACAAGTCAAATGGCGGGCTCACAGTTAAGTCCGTTGACTCCTCGCGAAAGGGAGCTTAGGGAGCTCCAACAGGTCGAAAGGATCCGTGAACAGTTAGAGAGGGATCTGAAGAAAACTACCGACAGAGAAATAGAGATTAAAAATAGAGCAGCTAGGCTTGATACTTTAGAGGCTGACAAAGTTGAGTTAGAGGGCTTGGATGAGTCAGCATTGACTGACCAAATGAAAACACTGAAGAAGAATATGTTGTCGCTGCATGCGCACGTGGACAGCAGATTAGACTTCATGCAAAGCACTCTAGACCAGATCCTGGATGTTTTGACAAAGCCAGGATTCAGGCCACCAGCACAATCGTCGTTGCCGTTATCGACGATGTCAGGTCCCTTTCCACTTCAAGCTGGTACACAGCCAAGTGGTACGTTTGCAGCAACCGCACAGATTGTTGCATCTTCTTCTTCGGGTCCAGCGGTGGTTGCTACACCACCGCAACAACCTGTTCCTCAACAGGGACAGCAGCAAGGTCAATGGTACCCTAAGACCCCAATGAAACCGCCTCTTGCCTTCTCAGGCGAGAGAAAGAACGAAGAACTCAACACATGGTTGAGGACCGTCCCGGTTTGGGTGAAGGCAAAGAGGACCTTGCCTGAGGATGAAGTGGTAACTGCTGCATCTTACCTCGAGGGTAAGGCAGCCAAATGGCTAGATGGTGTATTTGTGAAGGCAAGGTGCGGGCGCCGCATGGCGGACTGGGCTAAGTCATTAACGTTAGACCAGTTCATGGAAATGGTAGAAGCTCGATGGCATAATCCACACGAGGCTCAAAGAGCCACTGATGCGATTAACAAACTGGACCAACGAAAGTTCAAGTCGGTCAGAGCGCTTACGACTACCGTTGAGAGTCTGATCCTCGCCCCTGGCATCAACTATGGTGACCAGTTCCTGTTAACAACCTTTGTTAGATGTCTTCCTGAGAACATCAAGAACTTGCTGGCCAGCGAGGCACGCCTCGAGTACCATTCATTTGAGACATTGTCTAGGAAAGCCTTAGATTTGGAGGCCACACTAGGCAATGCTCAACCTACTTAGAATGACACGAAGAAGAAGAAGAGTCCTCAAGAGTGGAAGAAGAAGGGGGCTAAGTTGATGATGGTGGAGTCCGATGGGACTCAAATTGAGATCGACGAGCTCACTGACCTGATGGACTATACAGAGTTTGACGGCGAGGAGGTAGCTGAGGGTAGCACCCTCGCCGCGGTAGTCAAAACTAAGGCAGGTGGCCGAGGAAAGGGCCAACCAAGGAGTCAAGGGAAGGCCACCTCCAATCAGACCAAGCAGGCTGATTGGGTGAAGGCAGGTCTTGATCAAGACGTGTGGCGTGACCGCCGAGTGCGTGGCGCTTGTATCAACTGCGGGGAATACGATCACTCGCAGTACAAGTGCCAGAACGCAAAGGTTACGCAAAAGATACCTCCAAAGATGGGGGCATCTTACTCCCAGGCTTCTAGCTCGGGAAACGAGTGAGGCTAGTGGAAGTTTTAGCGGCTTCTACTCAAGGTGGCGTGGGCTTGATACCCTCCCCACGTCATGACAAGGCCAAAGTTAATGACTCCTTAGCCACCCCGCAGACACAACTAGACCAAACTATGCTCTATACGTTAGATGTGTCTGAGGCCTTAGAAGACTTAGAAGGTGAGTGGTCAAACAAGGAACCTCGCGAGTCTTGGATGGCACTGAAGAAAAGTCCTAGAGGGGAACATTTCGTGGTGGAAGTGGATGTAGGAGGCCGCAAATGTGGTGCCTTCATAGACATCGGATCCACGCGGAATTACATAAGCCGCGACTGTTTGGAAAGGCTGCACCTACAGGACCGGTACGACACCTCAGTAGACCTGTAGCATCTACTTTGGCCAACAAGGAGCGCATTATAGTAACAGACTATATCAAGGATGTGGTCTGTACCTTCTCCTATGGAGGAGGAGAACTTAATCATAAGATCTCGTTCTTGGTTAGCGACGACTTACCATNACTTAATCATAAGATCTCGTTCTTGGTTAGCGACGACTTACCATTTGACATGTTGTTAGGCATGTACTACCTCGAAGTTGCTAAGCCCCAGTTCGACTAGGATAAGAAGGTGCTCAAGCATAAGTTGCCTGATGGCCGAACTGTCAGATTGACTAAGTTCAAGGCCAGTAGCATTATAGATACCTATGGCTGCTTGTGTGCATCAACGTTCTACAATTACTACAAGCAAAACCAAGAGGAAGGTATGTACCTTGCGTATGTCTCTGAGGAAGGGGAGGCCGTTAAAACACCCCCAGAGATAGAACGCGTCGTTGCTAAGTTCCCTGATCTGTTCAAAGAGCCCACAGGAGTTGTTGAACGGGAAGTTGTCCACGCTATAGAAATCATTCCAGGGAGTAAGACCCCAAAGGGAAGGATCTATAGGATGGCTCCCGCCAAGTTAGATGAACTCCGGCGACAGCTTAAGGAGCTGACAGAGAAGGGATGGATTCGGCCTAGTACTTCCCCTTACGGATCACCCGTTCTATTCGTACCGAAGAAGGGGGGTACTTTGAGGATGTGCATTGACTATAGAGGCCTCAATGCCATCACTGTGAAGAACGCAGAGCCTCTACCTCACATAGACAACCTATTGGATAGGGTGCAGGGATGCAAGTACTATAGCAAGATAAACTTGAAATCCGACTATCATCAGATCGCTATAAGGCCTGAGGACCAACACAAGACAACTTTTCAGACTCATTATGGTCTGTATGAGTTTGTAGTGATGCCTTTTGGTCTTTGTAACGTGCCGGGAACATTTCAGCACGCTATGAATCGGATCTTCCATGACCATTTAGATAAGTTTGTCGTGGTCTACCTAGACGACATCCTGATCTTTAGTAAGTCTGCCGAGGAGCACACACAACACGTTGAGACTGTACTCTCACTCCTACGACAACACAAGTATAAGGTCAACTTAGAGAAGTGTGAGTTTGGTCGCACTAAGATACTATACTTGGGTCATGAAGTATCCGCGGAGGGGATTAGGCCGGAAGATGCGAAGGTGGCTAGTATTCGAGACTGGTCACGACCTCAGACGGTCACTGAGGTCAGATCATTCTTAGGAATGTGCGGCTACTATAGGAACTTCGTTAAGAACTATTCTACAGTCGCCTCTCCTTTGACTGATCTAACTCGACTTGACACGCCGTGGGACTGGAGTGATGAGTGCGAGGGTGCTTTCAAGAGATTGAACCATGCACTCATGAATCATAAGGTCCTCATGGTTCCTGATCCTCAGAAGCCATTCATAGTGACCACTGACGCAAGCCAATACGGCATTGGCGCAGTGCTGGCTCAGCAGGATGGGAAGAAGTTGAGACCGATTGAGTACATGAGCAAGAAGATGCCATCGAAGAAGCTGGCAAAGTCCACCTACGAACGGAAACTCTATGCTCTATACAAAGCACTTGTCCATTGGAGACACTTCCTGTTCGGAAGGTTCTTCTACTTGAGGACTGATCATCAGACCCTCAAATGGATCAAGACTCAACCGGCTCTTTCTGACGCACCCAAGCGATGGATTGAGGTCATAGACCAATATGACTTCAAGCTTGAGTATGAGGTCATAGACCAATATGACTTCAAGCTTGAGTATCTGAAGGGAGAGTATAACAAGGTTGCTGATGCGCTATCACGTAGAGCCGACTACCTAGGTGCGCTAGTTTCTGACTTTGGCGTATCTGAAGAAGTAACTCATTCATTGGTGGGAGCCTATCAGGAAGACCCTGTCATGATGGACATCATTCGCAAACTTCAGGCAAAAGACAAGGCCACGGAAAACGAGTTTGTGATGGTGGACGGGCTCCTCTATCTTGATAAGACCGGAATAAAAAGATTAGTAGTTCCATCTAGTGAACCTTTGCGTAGTTTGTTCTTAGGAGAATACCATGACGCAACGGAACACTTCGGCTACAAGAAGACGAGTGCTAACCTAGTACAGCGATTTTGGTGGCCAGGAATGTTAGATGACGCAAAGAAGTACGTAGAGACCTGTCAGGTCTGTCAGCGGGACAAGCCGCGAACTCAAGCACCGCTTGGGTTGTTGAAGCCTTTGCCTATTTCTCCTGGTCCACGACAGAGTGTTTCCATGGATTTCATGGACACCCTGGTGACTAGTAAGAGTGGCAAGAGGCACATCTTCGTCATCATCGATCGATTCACCAAGTACGCTAGACTAGTGGCTATGCCAGAGACCACAAGAACTGACTATGTCATCAAGTTGTTCAAAGACAACTGGGTGCGTGACTTTGGTTTACCAAAGTCAATCGTTAGTGACCGAGATGTCCGATTCACAAGTGAGTTGTGGAAGAAGATTGCAGAACA